GTGTATGGGTATGGGTTTTGTTTTTGGTGTGTGTGTGTGGGTGTGGTGTATGTTATTATGTGCCGTAGCGGTGTGCCTCTCAGCACGTGTTATGGCGGCCTGTCATGTGGACTGTGTGTATGGTTGCATGCGTGTGCCTTCTGTGTACTGTTAGACTCGTCATATACGTGTACTGTGTGTATTTACATATCCTACAATAGTCCATTATACCACAATTTCTCTTTTTTTTTTTGTTTTATTCCACTAACGCATCACTCTCATTCATTTCTAAAACTTCCGATAACCTTTGAATCCGCTTCTATTTTTTATGTCATCATAGATAACGGTAAAAAAACAGACGCAAAGAAATTTTCTTACATTTTTACAGATGTACATGATTTACAGAAGCGAGTGTGAGTGCTCTACTACCTCGCCACACGACACACGTGAATTTAGTCCAGAAGATAAAAATAAAAATCTTTGACAGAGATTTTCTTTAATACAGCATTATTTGAACACAATTTTGGGCAGCTCGTCGTGAACCCTGTAAATCATAACCGTGACCCATAAATGACCTAATCTCATCTCCCCCTGAGCTAGTAAGACCTTCTCGCCCCCTTTGTATCCCCACTACTGACACCCTCTCTCCCCTTTTTCGTAGTTCCTCCGTTTTCAGACTGGCCTCTCACAAAATCCTCGGCCGAACCTCCTGATGATCGCCCGTTCATTACGCCGTCACTGAGTAACGTTCTGACTGAGTCAGAGCCATCCGACGCGCGTAGAGGTTTATGCCTCCTGAGTATGATCATCATACTCATTGCACTAGCTCCACTCTGCGATTGACTCACTGATAATTTCATCTCATAGCCGCCTGACGCATCACCCAGTCTACCTTAACTGCTATCGCACATACTGATCGACCGCGTTCCGCTTCTTATCCCCGCCGTCGGTTCCACTCCTTTGTGTCATTCAATGACTCCTGTGCCACAGTCTGCTTTCCGTCTCGCCCTTCCCCCTTTCTCGACAGCCACCACTAAGCATCCGCCTCCTCTCTGTCGAGGCCCTCACGCATCACTGCGTTATCGCTCTCTGCTCCTTGCCATGGCGCATTCTCTTCCGTAGCATCCCAGTCACGAACCGAGCATATACCACACGACACAACCCGAATGCGCTCATACTTCCTCGCCATCCCTCTCCGGCCTTTCCCCTCTCTACGCTAGCCTTTGCACCTTAATATCCAACCACTAACACCGTCCTCCCCCTCTCTCCTCCCTTCTCCAACCACTAACACCCTCCTCCCCCTCTCTCCTCCCTTCTCAGCACCACTAACCACCCTCCCTGATCTGCCTCCCTCCTCTTCTCCCTTCTCCAAAACCACTATACACACCCTTCCTCCCTCCATCTCTCCCTCCTCCTTCTCCCAACCAGCAGACACCCTCCCGTTCCCACCCTCTACATCCCTCCCCTCATCTCCCATATCCACTAACACCCCCTCCTCACCCTCTCTCTCCTCCCCTATGCTCGCTGGCCTCGCAACAACCACAACTACATCCCTCCTCCACTCTTCTCTCTCTCCCTTCTCCAACGCAGCACTAACCCCGACCCTCGTCTCTAGACCACCCGACCTCGATCTCCTCCCTCCCTTCTCCAACCACTAACACCCCTCTCGTCCCCGCCTCTATTCTGCCTCCCTTTATCGTTCCAACCATTAACACCCTACCTCCCCTCTCTTCCTCCTTGCTGCCAACCACTAACACCCTCCCCCCCTCCTCTCTCCTCGCCCCTTCTCGACCAACTCCCGTGCTTATACATCGCTAACCCTCACCTCCGCTGTGCTCACAATCTCTCCATTCTCATACCTTCGTTGTGTCGGGCCTACCAATGCTCCATACAGCATAATGCTATCTCCCCTCTCATAGACGTTCCCCCTTCCCTTCTCCCGTTCCCTGCCTTCCTGTTACACGACACTCCCAGATACGCATACATTCCCACTTACTGACAAGCCGAATTCCCGTCCCCGCTCTCCTTAGCTAGCCTCGCACGGCTTGCTGCCACTGTCTCTAGTCGCTCCACTAAGACGTGAGCCCGTTTCTCTAACCACTAACACCCTTCCTCCCTCTACTCCTCAACCATCCTCTTCCTCCCATACTATCCGGCCCGTTACCCCCACGCACACACCCTATGTCATCATCTTAACCATACGACATCTCCTCTCGCTCCCCCTCTCAGGATTCATAAGTCCGATCCCTTCCCTATCTTCCTTTATCCTGGTCTGCAGTGATCTGTCGAAGGATCTCGCATGACCACCTTGCCCTCGCCCTCTCTGTCTGCGTCGCCATATTACATCGCTAATACAACCCTTCCCACGTTTCCCTCCTACTTACACCTCGCCTTCTACCACCTAATAATGTGATACCAGTCCGGGTACAACTGACACCCGTCCGTGGCCTCCCTGCTCTTCTCGCCTCCCTTCCCCTTTCTCCTGATGCGCCCATAGTCATACTCATTTATAACCACCTCGCTGCATCTCCGGCCTCTCAATATCGTGCTCTTCTCTGCGTCCTCCTCTCTCGATTGCCTTCGCAAGCTCTGCCCCTATACCAGTACGTTTATTCGAATACTGCGCGCTGCCGTTCTCACAGCCGGTGGCTGCACTACAACCACTCCATACCCACGTCCCCTCTACCTTCCTCTCCTGTTCGAATAACTCTAACCAAGCCTTACATCCCAGTCCGTAGACCCTTATCAGCTTCCCTTGTTAATTTCTATCGTTGAATTCCCCCCCCCCCGATTTACTCCATCCAACTAACTCCGTCCTCTTCCCCCGTCCCTTCTTCCACATGCGATGGATCCCCCAGGAGAAGAAGGAGGCGGGCCTAGCAGGATGGCCGCGGCTGGAGACGCACCATCCGTCGCACTTCTAGCACAACAGTTCTCGCGCTCATAACAACTGCTGGCCACGCTCCGACCACACCACTCCCGAGCAACTGTTCCTTTTTTCGTCTGTTTTTTCTTTTTTTTTTTCATTCGTTTAGTACCCTTTGTTTTTCTCATCTTGCTATTTTGATATGTATCCTAGGTACTATGTCATATGGCTACCCGCGCTCTCATGTTCACTTCAACCCTTCTATTCTCGCAGTGAGTTTATTCTCTTCATTGTTTCTCTGTCTTCGTCGCGCACCAGATAGGCTGTGTCTACGTTGAGAGTTCTCGTCTTGCTTGCCTTCGGCTATCCCCTCTCAGAGCCTCTTTTCGCGACATGTTACCTGGTGGTCTCCTTTTGTTCTCAAATGATTATGTTATCCTGGCCATCTGGTTCTTACAGCTACACTTCTCTGCGCTCATTCGTCGGTCCTACTGCTATCAGGTCTCTGCGTTCTCTGCTCCGGTACTCTGCTACTCGGTCTCTCTCTTCTTTCACTACCATTTATTTTATCATCTATTTTTCTGCTGTGTCCCTTGCTTGTTGCTCTGTCCTCTTTTTCTCTCTTTCTGATTCCTTTTCTTAATTTCTCTTTCTCTCTACCTCTCTTCCTCTCTCTTCCTCTTTCTATTTCGTCTCTCTGTTCTGCGATTCGTTGCTGGACGATTCTCTCGCTTTGTCGCATATTTACTTTATGATTGACGTTTTTTCTCACTCCTCTTCGCAGGTTACGCTTCTCTGTTTCCTTCTCTTTCTTGCCCCGCTCATTAGTCTTTCTGTTTGCTCTTTTTTTTGCGTTAGGTTTCCTGTTTTTGCCTCTTCTATTTCCTTTTGCTGTTTTCCTTCCGTTCTTATTTTCACACTCTAATCTCTTCGCCTTGTTTTCTCCTTACGACCAGCTTTCCGCGCAAATCATTAATACTTTATACAGTACAATAACCCCTAAAAATCCCAGCGTCTTTTTTACCTCCCATGTTCTTTCTTCTTCTTGCATCGTTCTTACTCCATGTCACTAGCCGTGACGTTTATCGACTCACTCTTTTATCTCCTGTCATGTCGTATACAATAACATAATAATCTATTTCGCTGCTCATCGCTTACTACTGCTCCTATGTCTTGTGGTTTCTCGATTTTCGCACTTATGCTCACCGTCCGCTAGTCACATATCTTTATTACAGGCTAATCTTCTTCTTGCTGGTTGTACTGTCCTCTCTCTACCTCAGACCTTCTTCGTCGTATTTTGTTTAATGGCGATGCCTCTCTTCTCCCTCTTCATTGCACACGCGCATAACGCGCACAACTATCGTGTTATTAATTCATGAACTTAGTATATCCTACATGAGCTCACAAGCTCCTAGTGCTTTCATCTATTAACACAACTGCTATATCTTTATTAATCTTACAATTATTACACGTATATCACACTCGCGTGTGCAGTACTCAAGGGATTATGACATATTACAATAACATGACCGAAGTACCTCACTCTCTTCGCGATCTCTCTTCGCTTATTATTTCTAGAGCGGGTATAACTAAATATTTCACTACGTACTTTATATTGACTTCATATTTCTATATAGCCTACGTCTCTTACTATATTATATTTTATTATAACTCTATCCTTATACTCACTCACTCTATTATTCTATTATATTATTCTCTATGCTATCACTATCTCTTATGCCTCTCTCTATATTATTCACTTTCTAGTATATAGATATATATTTAATTAATATCTCTTCACTAAATTTTTATTTTTCTATTCTTCTCTCACTTATATCATTATATAGTGATATGACTCTACCTCAGTATTCATATCATTTCGTTTTTTTTGCTGATATTCTTGTATCTTTTTTCTTAACACCGGTTTCACTCTTTCATTTTTTGGTAAATTAGTATTATTCTGATTTTCGTGTGTATGTATTCGTCTTGTTACTGAAATTTTACTATCTTTACCCTGTTTAGTTATTTTATTTTTTGATACCTTATCTAACTATGCTTTATTCTTAATTGTTATTGTCTCTTACACATATCTCCTATTTAATATATATGTGCTGTGTGTTGTGTGCTGCCTGTTTTTTCTGTGTAAATTTGTATTATTTTTATATTAACTATCATTTGACTATCACGCAGTTATATCTTTCTTAATTTGATCTTCTACATATAGTTATTAGCTATTATTTTTAATATTAAATATAAATATATAATGTACTATATAAAATATTTGTGCTGATGATAGTGTGTGCCTATTTGATAACTAAAGTTATATTATATGTGATATATATATTAGTAGTGAGTATATTGATTACTAATTTACTTATCCGACTATATTATTATATGTATATACTATGTGTGTGTTTATATAATTATTATATTATATATATAGTGATATAGTTATATTATATTATGATATAGAATTACTAAAATATCACATATAGAATCAACCGACTATGAATTTTATCTACTAATAAGTAATGAATAATAGAATGGAAATGACAATCTCCTCTCTCCGAAAGCGACAAAGTAGTCCGCTCCATTCCTCTTTAATCTGCCTACATGTCCTTCAAACTCGCAACTCTGGCCCGTGTTGATCTAAATTTGTCCCTTCGGAATAGTATTCACTCTCTCTTCTCCTTCGTGCCGTTCACATACTTCAGTTTACGACGCGTCGCAGAATTTCAGTTGGTTTTTCAGGCCCAGGATCCTAAGGCGCGGGGGGGGGTTGTCTTTTTCTCTCTGCGGGCTCTTTAACTATTTGTCAATTATTTATTTATTAATCTTGCATATTGATTTGTGTTCTTGTTTTGTTTCGCTTGAGTTTTTGCTTAAGTTAGTAAATTAAAGAGTATTTTTATATCTATGTATTTTTTTCATATTACATTAGTATTTATTATTATTAATTTAATTTACTCATAATTTATCTCATTCTGTTACATTTCGTTATTAGTTATTTTTATTATTATAGTATCATTAATTATTGTCTATTGTCCATTATTTATTTTTACTCTCCCATCATTATGGTTTATTATGATTATTTATCTGACATTATATTATCTTTAGTTTAGGTATAGTTACTAATATTCTATTTTATTCATAATACAATCATCTCTAAAATTATTTGTAAATTTTTATTATGTCTTGATTACTTAATTTATTAATTATATTAATTCTCACCACTTTACGATATTTCGTATTACAATCATAATCTATGTAACATAGATCATAATTGAAGATTAATTCTAATTTATAACCAATCCTCACGCCAAATAATTATTTTAAACATAAAGATATGTTTTAATCTTATGTGAATTAATCGATAAAAGCATTATTGATCCTCCGTTAAGCATGTGTGTGTCATTCCACCTAGTGTGAGTGATGTTCAGTTCGACATTCAAGTCATGCCTTTAGAAGAAGCAATGTAAAGACAAGCTCGTAATGACAAGCGAGGTAATGAATCTGCACTTTCAATGTTAAGTCCTCTCCTCTCCCTGACCCTTCATCCGACTATATTTCTGTGATGGTTTATTACCCTGATTCTGTCTTTCACCTCAGCTTCCTCTGTTTACGTGTTATTTGACCGGTGATATTGATTTTTTATATCTATTTTCAATATTATTCTACGACCGCAATTAGCGCACCAGTAACGTCATATAGACAATTATATACAGTCATATTTACATATTATCTAGTATCACTATATACATTAACATATAATATGCTCGATTTACTATATCATTTATATACATACATATTTAACTTAAAAATTAACAATAACATACAAATAAACATACCATTCACCACTCTACATATCTACATCATCTCGACATACACGCATACACGCATCAAAATTAGCACACAACACAAGTAACAATATTCAGACATATATCACACATACGCATACTATCCACATCACGACACACACGACATCACACATTACTACCACACACACACACACACACACACACACACACACACACACACATACACACACATACCACCACACACACACATACCACACACAACACACACACACACACACACACATACAAATTCACACACACACACACGCACACACGCACACGCGCGCGACACACACACACGCACATGCGCGCGCACACACACACGCACACGCCAACGCGCGCACACCACACCACACGCACACGCGCGCGCACACACCACACGACGCAGCGAGCACACAACACGCACACGACACTCAGACACAGACACATCACACACCACGCACACACATACACACTTACACACACACATTACACACAACACCACACACACACCACACACACACACACACATCACACGCACGCGCACACACAGACGCACACGCGCGCGCACACACACACCACACGCGGCGCCACCACGCACACGCACAACACCACACCACAACCACAGCACACACACACTAACACACACACCACACACACACACACACACTCACACACCACACACACACACAACACACACACACACACACGTACATACGTACATACGTACGTACGTACATATAGGCTTACATAAAAAGATATACAGTATGTATGAACTTGCATGTAGAATGATTTTCTAGGTCATGATATAAGTTTCTCTTATCCCCATATTGATTCAAATGTTAATATATAGTATCACTAACCAAAGCCCCGCTTGCCCCGGCAAGCGCTGTACAATAACTACGTGAAGGACGTGCCTCCTTTATAGAGACCAAGTGCCTGAGTACCAGCGTGTATTAAGAATTTGTAATATATATGTGATGTAATTAGCGTGTGTGCGTGTTTGCTTGCACATAACCGCGTGTGTTTGTGTGTGCACATGTGTGAATATACCCATATATATCCATATCGCTTTTTTTTTCTTCTTTTTTTTGTATGTTAATGTTTCTAAAATATGCCTCTCTTAACTCTCCCTCCTTCAGGTGGTTCGAGCCGTTCGTCATGCAGTGGCTGAACGAGAACGACGACGTGTCTCTCGAGTATCTCAACGGTGCCTTCCAGAGAGACAAGAAGGACGAGGTGTGTGCGAGTTTTACGTTTTTTGTTTTTTTTCTTCTTCTTTCTTTATCTTTTTTTTTTTTTTTTTTTTTGGCCTGCGTTTTTAATATTTTCAGAAAGCTGGATTTCATTGATTGTAGTTTTAAATTGTTACTCTCTGGCCCCTCCGCCAGTTCCCGCCAAGTTCCGAAAACTCCCTCTTCTCCAACTCCGTGGTGGACGTGTTCACGCAGCTCACGCAGTTTTCTCGTGTCGAAACTCGAGTGTCCGGACCCCGAGATCTGGAAGAGGTTCATGAAGAGATTCGCCAAGACGATCGTCAAGGTGCTGCTGGCTTATGCCGACATCACCAAGAAGGAGTTCCCCAACTACGTCACGGACGAGAAGAAGGTAAGTTCAAGGCTTTTCTCGGTTCTTGTGTCCTTCGTCCTTGTTTGTTATGAGATCCAAGTATGTCCGTCTTCTAACGCGAATGACTAGCATAGCAAAGACCACGAACTATGATTTGATTCGTTCAACGTTTTTCTTTTCAGGCGTGTATCTTAATGAACAACATCCAGCAACTGAGAGTACAGTTGGAGAAGATGTACGAGAAGATGGAGAAGCTGAGGACGTCGCCACCATCCTCAACGAGCTTCAGGCGTCCCTCAATACTGTGCTCGACGAGCTTGCGCACAAGTTCGCCAAGAGGTCGGTTGTTGAGATAGAAAACTTTTTTTCTTATAGAAGGAGTGTTTAATGTAGAAAGTCTATAGGTTCAGTTTGCGCCGGAGTAGATTTGTTATAAAATACCTTCACTACTTGTCATAGTACTAGTCATAGCTATACGAAAAAAGAAAATGGATAGTTCTTGTCTCAGATAGATATTATTTATAAAAGTGTAACCAACCAAACCGAGAGCCTGACCCCATCCCTCCCGACGCAGCCTGGAGGTCCGCATCGCCGTCAAGGTGAAGGAGATGGGAGACAAGCTGGCGGCGGTGAAGGGCACGGGGCAGGTGCAGCCGTCGCAGCGCAAAGCCGTCATCGTGGAGGCTGACGACGTGCTGGTGCCCCTTATGGATCTCCTGGAGGACTCGTTGTCTCTGTACGCGCATTCTTGTGAGAAGACGGTGCTGAAGCGACTCCTCAAGGAGCTGTGGAAGATCGTCATGACCACCATGGAGAAGACCGTCGTCCTGCCACCGATGACTGACAAGGCTGTGAGTATTTTTTTCGTCGTTAATCGTAATGGATATCTGGTGATTTCGTTTTCCTTTCTATTTACTGTCAAGTGATGTTCTTATTCTTCAACTCAGAAATTAACTCGGTTATTGCCCGGGAATTAGATTTTACGGATTATGTATCTGTAAGCGTTACCTATTCCCGTTTAGAAGAATGAGATTACACTATACATTTCTTCATTACAATAAACTGAGTACTGTACACTCTTAGTATATGAAATCAAACATGGTAAGTAATGGATAACCGTATGTATGTAAATAAGTATGTAACCGACTCTACGAATCAAACCGAAAACTAGACCTTCTTTCCCCCCAAAAAAATACAAAAATGTATTTCTTCTACGCACGCTGCTACTCCAGATGATGCTTAAGAACCTGACAGACAACGCTAAGAACTTGGCAGCGAACGCCAAGATCGAAGACATGTCCAGATTGTTCAAGAACCAACTCGCGGGCAGCAAGGACGTGAAGAATGCTGTCTCCAACATCATGGTCAGGAAATGCAGCGTCTTGAGAGATGTTTACGGCTATGATCTAGACCTTTGTTATGATATTCATGTCCCTTTGTTTTTTGTTTTTCTTACTCAATTGACGTACATATTCTATCTGTTGTGTTTACTTTGTAGAAAGTAGTGTATTCGGTTGATTGTTGTTGTTTTTCTTTTCTATTGCATAGCTGTTCGTTTTAACAGTTTGAGTTCATAAGTTCACTGTTTGCATGCATCTCTTAAAGTGGCTATATTTTAAGATTTGCATGGCCGTTTGTTTCAAGTTAAAGACTGACATGATTTATTTATTCAGGGAACGTAGAAAGTTTCTGTGAGATCATTTGTTTGTATCAAATTATGTTATGGAGGTTTGTAGAGTACATACCTATTTTGTGTGTAAAGTATTGTCGCTTGTACATGTATGCACATCAGCTTTAAACATCAACAAAGTTTACAGTTTAGTCTATATTCATTTACATATCAGCAGCACAACACCTGTAAGCATGCGACAAATGAGAATGCTATTCAGCACGCTAGAACTTCACACTATGAAACACTGTTTGTTCTTTTTAGATAGAACAAATTGTCACCATAAAACCCAAAAAATTGTAATAACTGCTGGCTGTCGCAGCAGAACGGAATTTCACACACAGCTACCAAATGTATATATATTTTTTTGGTCTACGTTTAATTAAATGTTTTACCAAATGCCAACTTTGGTAGCATCTCTTTCATATTGCAGTTATCTTTCACATATTTTCGTTTTGATATAAACAGACCTAGTATGGTTATGGAAAAGATCAACTGTGTTTTGTATAGGAAATTTAGACGTTCAAAAATATACCAAAGATGCAATAATTTTCTTCACTAGATCCAGAGTGTGATCACAAGTATTTATGCTTTTAAATGTACTGTCGGTCCTCAGTATTCGATGTTTCACATTATCTTGAATGACAGAATTGTCTCAGAGATAACAGTGAATGAGATAATAAGTTCGCTTTTGCGGCCTCGCAGGATATCTCCAAGGACTTCGAGCGCAACCTGACGCCAAAGCAGTGCGCAGTGCTCGAGGCCGCCCTCGACACCATCAAGCAGTACTTCCACGCCGGAGGAAATGGCCTTAAGAAGAACTTCCTCGACAAGTCCCCCGAGCTGAAATCGCTGAATTACGCGCTGTCATTGTACACGCAAACCACAGACACGCTCATCAAGACCTTTGTCACCACACAGACCAATCAAGGTAAGTCCCCCCTTCAGGAAGAGAAAATGGAAGGCGACTCGCCGCGCGTTCCTTCCGTTTTCTTTACTTTCCGATGGAGTGACTCAAACATTGAGGTTTCTTCACGATGTCAGTGTTTCAGTGTGCATGAATGGATCTGGTAATATGTTTCAACACCAAAATAGCTCTTAGCTCTCACTATTGATCCTCAGTCACTTCCTTCTGCTACTCAGCACATTATCAGGCTTACATTAATTTCTTCTGTGAACTTTTTTTCAACTAAGTGTGCAGATTTTGTGAGTAAACATTTGTGGCGTGATTCTCACGTCCGTATGGTAAAATTATCCTGGTATTATTTTTCGATTTGGGCAGTTCAAAGTGCAGCAAAGACACATGCATCATTGAGTATTATTATAATCATAAACACAAGGAGCATGCCAGTACCCGGCACCTTCTGCTTCCACCACTGCAGTGTACTTTTTTAGCTTGCTGCCTCCACGCTTCAACGCGTTACATCGAGTGCCACGTGTGGCATTCTGGGAGACACAGTGCCAGCCGCTCGCTCGCTCGGACCCACGGGCCAGGAAGCCCCTTGTCTGGTCCCTGTTTTGGGGGAATGGTTTATAGGTCACAAACGCACACGCACATCACACGCGCATACACACGCGCGCACACACACACACACACACACACACACACACACACACACACACACACATACACACACACACACACACACACACATATATATATATATATATATATATATATATATATATATATATATATATATATATATATATATATATATATATATATATGTGTGTGTGTGTGTGTGTGTGTGTGTGTGTGTGTGTGTGTGTGTGTGTGTGTGTGTGTGTGTGTGTCTGTATAAATATACACAAAATCATACATGAATATGCAAAAGCATGGCCACATGAACGCTGTTAGGTATTCATGTTAATGATATATATGTTATACATAAACTAGCAAGAATTTACATAAAGCAACATTTATGAACATTTTTACATTGGCTCACACAAACGCTTACAATTACACACGTATTCACACACATACACACACAGCCACCTGTTAACACACACATACGCACACGCCACAGGCATAATTCTCAGTGCAAAATAGGACCATGTTCTAAGGCAAGCGAGGAAATGGCGTTGTGTCCCCCAACTTTTATGAGATTAAGCTATGATTATTAAATGTCGCGAAATGATACTTGCGTAAACCAGTCATAAGGTTCAAGTTCGCTTGTGGCGAAATTTGACGTTGGTGATGGTGGTTTTGAGCTGTTCACATCATGAAGTGACAGAAAAAAATGTATGTATATATATATATGTATATGTATATATAATATATATATATATATATATATATATACATATATATATATATATATATATATATATATATATATATATATATATATATATATTTACGAACATATATCTGTCTGTATGATCAAATATTTTACAAAGGGTACACTTTCATCTCTTAAACTGCAGGCTACCTTTTTACGATCCATTCTTGTCAGAAACAATAGCCTCTACATAATATCGCCGCGCACGCCGAGTCCTTGCGTCGGCGTGAGACTCAACTGATATCTGCACGATTTTTTTTCATGCAGCCATTGTTTTCATAATTAGAGCCTCAGTA